ACTCTCTCTCTCTCTCTCTCTCTCTCTCTCTCTCTCTCTCACGCACTCACTCACTCACTCACTGAGCACTCGCTCGTCAAAATGTGCAGGCTAGCTTTGGCTCCCAATTGCCAATTGTTTCGTGTTTTTTTCCAGAAGCCTCATTCTCATAGTAAAGATCAGGAACGACCCTTTTTAATTTTCGTAAGGGGATGGGGGAACGGCGAATTAGCATTCTATCCAGGAGAAACTGGGTTAAGATCCAACATGGTAGGTGGTCAGATTGGATCCTTTTCGTTGACACTCTTGTGACCTTCTCTTCCCAAAACAGGTCCTGGCTAAGAAATGTGGACTGGACTGGAAAAGTGTTCGTCGTTTGAGTGAGGTACAACAAGGTGCAGAAAAGAGCTTGGATGAAATGTAAGCGTTTCCATTCTCGACGCGCAATCTGTGCCATTTAAGATAAAATTGCTGACCTATAGTTATAGTTATACTTTCGATTTAACCTAATAAATTGTCTGTAAACCCTATAATAACAAATGTGAGATTGGGTCTAGTTTGTCCTCTTCGTGCGCTTTTACATACAAAGCGTCGAGTAGAGAACGCCTTCGATTTCTGTCGGTTGCCAGTTGGTCAAGCTGCCCTCGTGTCTAGCCTCTGTTCCTCCCTGCAGTTCTCCTTCAAGTTTTGTTAGGACGGCCTTTCTTTGATCGGCTGTCAGGAGTTTATTGGGACGACTCTGGGCCGGACTGATGGTGGCATTCGGAGCACATGGCTGATCCATCTCCATCTTCTTTTCTGGACCTACAGGGAGATGGGTTCTGTACCTATTCCCGTTTGTTGGGATTCCTTTGCCTGAAATCTAATCTAACTTCAACGTATTTTATCAAAGAACAAGTAGCCTCAAATCTTAGTCGCTGATTTATCAAAAGTGTGGATTGAACATTTAAGATGCATCTGTTTTTTTTTTTATCTCGCCGTATTCATGTAGGGTTGAAATGGTGGACTCATGCCTCCATGCCGAGCCATACATGAAGAAAGAGCTTTGTGAATACTTTGAACTCACGGTACGTTTAGCGTATAAATTCGAACAGACGGAAAGTAGGAAATTAGCATTGTCCAAGAGGTGCCCGCTGAAATAACGACCCTTGCGATAGCAGACAATTTTCAGGGGTAAAGAACGTAGTCTCTGTGACTAGATTTGTTCTCAAGGAGAAGTAGTCTTAAAATACGATTTGAGATGTCCTGAGAAATACTCCCTCTTATATTTCCTTACATATTACAATCATTTAGTAAGCTGTGTACCAAAGAGTACGTAAAAGGTAAAGTCTGTTTACGAGCCTAGTGGCCCATTAGGCCGGTGCTTAACTCCGGTTTCTGTAGCATGAAGCGACTAGGAGTATTTCTACTCCCCCCTGGATGGGATGCCAGTCCATCGCAGGGTTACCCCCAGCATTAAATTGCCGGTACCCATTTATACACCTGGGTGAAGAGAGGCACTGTGAGAGTAAAGTGTCTTGCCTAAGAACACAACACAATGTCCCGCCGGCCGGGGCTCGAACCAGGACCACTCGATCCAGGACCACTCGATCCAGAGTCGAGCGCACCAACCATGAGGCCACCGCGCCTCCACCATCAAAGAGTAGGAATCATGCTTAAATGAAAAATGTTTGCTGTTTTTCTTTTTATTATTCAAACGGGGAAGCTCAGCAAAGTTGTTGCTCTCCTCTTTAAGGCAAAGATTAGGAAAGATTTCCCTATAGCCCCTATTCTAAAACAAAACCGTAGCCCCAAATACAATCTATTGTTTTCGCCATTGTTTTCTTACTTTATCAAAGAACTGCGTTAATAATGAAGTATGGGGTCAGACAGAAATCTTGCCAAAGATTTGGCCATACGTATCCACTGTGATGACATTTCCGTCTGTTGGTTTGTGTTTTCCCAGGACGAGGAGTTAGTGAACCAGTGCATGAGTCCTTCAACGGCGGGAGTGACCAGCTTCAAGTTGCATGATCGAGCCAAACACGTGTATTCTGAAGCTGCTAGAGTGCTCAAGTTTAAGTCAGTGTGCGGGGAAAAACCTGCTAATGCTGTTCAGGTAGTAACGGTTTGGTTTCGTTTGCATGTCCTCATTTTGGCACAGGTTGCATGTTTTCTGCGCTGGGTATGGGTGACATACTTTTACCCACTATTTCGCTCCTAACGCTGGTTGCATGCTTTTCTGCCCTTGCACCGGTTGCGTGTTTTCCCGCCTTTGGAGTTGGCTGCATATTTTCCCACCCAACAGTTGTCTTGTTCCCTGCGCTTGGCACTGGTGTCTAGTTTTCCAGAATTTTGATTGTTTGTTTGTGTTATTGGCTTATAATGTGATTGGTCAGTTGATCAACTGTAGGATCAGTCTTGCTCTAAGACTTTCATGTGACAGCCAACTTTGTGTCTTGTCTGTGAGCAGGTCCTCGGTGGTCTTATGAATGACAGCCATGAAAGTTGTAGTAAGATGTACGAGTGCAGCTGCGAGGAACTTGACCAGTTGGTACAACAGTGCAGGTATTTATTCTGTTTCTCTGGGATTTTTCATCAATAAAGTTGTCATATTTTACTCCAAGAGGTGTTTTCGATGTCTCTGAATTTTTTTAGGCGAGCTGGAGCAGTTGGCTCCAGGCTCACAGGAGCGGGATGGGGCGGTTGCACGGTGTCCCTGGTGCCTACTGATGTCCTCAATGGCTTAGTGAAACAAGTGCACGACGGATACTATGCCGCTGACCCAGGCAGGCTTAAAAGGGTTTCCGAGAGTTTGTTTGCGACTCAGCCGGGGAGTGGTGCGGCGATACTTAAACTTAAGTAATATATTTTTGACTTAGAGATAAAAAAAGGGTCAGTATATAGGTCTGAAATAAGAAATACTGCGAGTAAAGCATAGCGAGCGCGAGCCACCTATTCAGGAAAATTACTTTGTACTTATACTTATTGACTGATTGGTAGGGCCGGACGGGAGAATATTTAGCTCTCGGTCATGATGTACGGACCGAGCGCAGCAGGGTCCGTGTCTCATGACCGATGGCCCAATATTTTCTCGTCCGGCCCGACCAAACTCAATCGATAAGAATTTTATCAGTCAGCAATCCAATGAATACACGGGTTAAAGTTACACACGGATAAATCGTTTACATCCTTCGCCAGAAGGGAGACATACTTACCCGCGTTGCTTTCCTTTAAGTTGTGAATTAAACATTTGTCATTTTTCTGAGTTCCATCTGAGCTCTACCGACAGATAAAATGATTGAGGGTTAACCTTTAAAAAAAGTAAGAGCGATCAGCATCCAAATTCTCGTCACGGCTTACAGTAATACTGCTAAATGGTACATTTAGATCATGAGAGTCAAGGATATGATCGCCAAGCTAGAGGGTGGTAAAGAGTATTTTCGTAATTCGTGAATGGTCTTTTTTTTTTCCCATGAAACGTTAAATGGCTTCTTTTTTTTTTTTCTTGTGATTCGTGATTTCATTAGTAGCCGTGAACCATGATTTTCCAAAATAATTTTCTGTGAAATGAGAAAGAAGTATTTAATTCGTCGTGAACCGTGATTTTGGTTGTAGTTTCGACAGTAATGTTACTTCCCGTGAACTGTGAAAGGACCAATTTATTTTCCGTGAAACGTGGTCTTGAGCCCCTCTCTACCACCCTCAAGCTAGGAAGCTTTGATTTTTAAACGAATCCTCCTTCTCAGTACCAAAGGAAATGTACGAAGAAGGGTATGGAGAATGTTGATTGTGATGTGCTGGTTTAAAGGTTTAAAGAACTTAGTACAGACAAACCTGTATCAAGCGGTCCCACTTGGAGCTTTCTACGGGTTGACCGCTAAATACAGGTTGCAAAGAATGAATGATTTGACAAACGATTGAAAAAAAAAACGCCTTTTTATAACACAATTGACCTTGTAATGTACAAAACCTTTTCTCAAAAATACTACTAACACTGATTTAGGGAGAGAAATCTGGATTAAATTTTACTGGCAAGATCATTCTTCGTTTTATTTGAGTAGTTCCGCTTTAAGTGACGGCGAAATGCAGGTGGAGGACAATCATGATATAGGCCGTTGGGACACACTCAGAGGTGACCGTGACCGCTTAATAGAGATGAAGACTACAGGGGGACTTAGACAACTGACCGACCTACAAATATTAAGGACCTCCTTGACTGATCCCTGCTCGTCTTGTGTGGGACAGAGTCCACAGGCTCCCCCAGGCATCCTCTCAAGTTTCCTGAGCAACTTGTGGGTTTCAGGAGGGGATCCTCTCTTGACACATTCATACTCCTGGGAGGAGAGGCAACTGTGAGAGAGCAGAACGCTGTGACCGGGTCACTGCGTTTTGTTTTGATTACAGAGCTTTCGTCCCAGGGTCTAGTTCGCGAATCGCATGAGGAAGAGGCTTGTACTGTCGCGGAAGAAGGATAGCGCTTACTTTCATAACTAATCCATTGCGTAAAAAACACTTTCTATCACAAATGACTTGATTATTTGACTGCCGCTCTGTTATTCAACAATACCTTAAATGCATTTGTCAAATGGCACCCGTGCGTCGTCTATTGTTTAACTTTATTGTTACGATAAACATTTGTAAACCAAGTATGCAATAGTGGTGTCGCAATGAACAAACGATTATGTCCCTCGCGGCGGTTTCAAAAGAAAACAATTTGTGTAATTATCTTTGTTTTAAAGCCTAATGAAAAACAAACGGTTGTTGAGGTCGAGACGCGCAGTCTGGGGAATCGGCGAAATCTGTTGTGGTTATGTCGAAGAAATCGGAACAGAGAAGTCAAGTCCCGTGCATCAGTTATGTTTCATAATCTCTGATGGCCGCATATTGTTTTTAATCAGTATTCATAAAATGGTAAAATTTTCCAGAGCAAACACTCTGTCACCATCATAAGTAGAAAATGTTGCATTTGGGACTGTTAATGAACCTGAAGTTATTAAGTCAGAAAGTAATAAGTAGAATAGTAACCCGCCCGCCCAATCAAGAGATGTTGGCCTTCGTTTGTCGGGGTCTGACTGCGTTCTGGCTGGCACAATAATTTGAATTCTGCTCAAATTTTCCGCGCAAACTTTAAAACTGCGAACAAAAAAGAAGGGACGACAGGAAATCTGCAACACATCAGTGTTCTGAAATCTCAAGGTAAAAATTAAAACGCCATCCGTGCGCGAGTTCTTTTATCCTGGGAGAAAGCAAACCGCCAAATGATTTCTTTTTGAAATATTTTTATGCTGCTAAAAATTCCGGACATCCTTCAAGTAAAAAGATACTCTGCTTTTGATTCGAAAAGATCTCAGCAATTTTCTTGTTGGCAGCAAACTAGCACTTTATATTTCAATTATCTTGTAAACTTAGATTGATCGGTCGTTAATAGTTATCTCAGCTTTACCTTCTGCAATACCATCGTTCCTTGAGTATGCCATGAGCTTAAATTGTCTTGAAATATTTGTAACGTATGTTTCATTGCACAAGAGCTTTCATATTGAATCTCGTGCAAAGTGAGGGATGTTGTAGATAATCGCATTCCACAAACAAATTTACGTCGTGTTAAGTGCTCTTTCGCCATATCCGTTTTAGTGGCACTCCATTTACGCAATCTTTTTTCTCACTTGGTGCAAGCCAGCCGTCATTAAGAGAGTCACCAGTGCAATTCATTAAGCTAATTCAAGCCATTTCCACTGTTATTAACTCACGCGTGCACCATATTCCATCCAATCATTATGCCGGCATTCAGTCGCAAATCTGAATAGGTCTTAGCGGGTTTGGTATTAAGATGGGTAAATGAAGAGGTTTATGTTCGTACGAGTTAAGCTCTTATTCATAAAATATTTGGAATGTTTTAATTAATTCCCTACAGTCTTGTTCTAGTGTCTTGTTAGTATCATTGTCGTATTTCACTGGCAAATCTGACTTTTCCGTTTATGGTTTCAAACATCTGCGAGATGTATCCTTGTTACGAGTTGTTTCTAGATTTTGCATTGCAAATATGGAGTTCTTGGTCGTAATTGACCAAAATTCAAAGACTAGAAGCTTCCCCTTTAATATACTCTATCTGCTAAAGATTATCTTTTCCTAGCTTCCGACAAGACTTCAGGAATGAAGGAAATTAGCTTTCCTATCTGCTTGTCAAATTTGTTATTAAAAGTCAATATCCAGGGGGTTAATTAAAATAACTAACAAGCACGAATTTTATTCTGTTGATGTGCCCAGACTGACCGTTGATTAAAAGCAGAGCGAGCGATTGATTATTTGTACCTCATAACAGACCAACAAACTTCTAAGAAGCCATTGTTAACAAAACAAAACCATCAGGAAAATGAGGCTCCATTATCATTATAAAAAAAAAGAAAAACACGGAAAAGCAGTTCAACGACAGAAGCCATTAAAATCTGCATGAAAAGAAAAAAAAAATACCAGGACTGACTATGTAATATTTTTAGCAACCAAACAAGGGGTAATAAAAAACAATTTATCCCCCAAAGTTGGTAAAAGGAAGAAGGGTGAGCATAAAATTCGAAAAATGAGGTGTAGCGTGGGACTATCACGAAGGCGTTCTCCACAAGAACGATGAATAAGATCACTTTTTACTAGGACTAAACAATAAATCTTTTGGTATCTTGTTTCCCATAGGCCATCATCTCTTCGTAGTCATCAACGCACAGAATTCTGTTGTTAATTAAGTAAAATTTGTCCCCAACACAAAACCTCTGATGGCATCTTTGACAAGAAAAACACTCCAGGTGATACACATTTTCTCCCGCACGCATGACCATCTCGAAGGCAGGGATAGTTTTACAGCACACCGTACAAAAACCTTTTGTCCCGAACAACCTAAAAGGGACAATATAAACAGTTAGTAATCTTTTCATCCGAGCCAAGTGGATGAAAAATCATATCCGGAGAGACGAGAGGTCAACTCACTGACCGACTGCCGGAAAAAACGTTTTCAACTTTAAAGCATGACTGTAAACAAGGCACTTTACGCTGATCGCTGTGTTTTTCCGTCATTTCTAAAAGCACTCTTAATGGAATATTTACTAATTGATGTACATTAGAGTTCACCGCTAAAAGGCCGGGCAATATTTTGAAGAGCACTGACAGCGATCGACGGAAGTATCGAAATGTGTGATCAAATTTCTTGACAAGCAGAAGTGAAGTATATTTAATAATGTGAAAAAGTTGCACTTTAATGTGTCGAGCTAAAGAGAAAACAGAGTGTTTTTAATCTTAGAAAAACAATGCAATATTCTCAATCTCGTTAAATACTTCTGAAGAAAAACTATTTTTCTGATAAATTCCCAAATAGAAGCGCCCATTTGAAGGTAATATTCTGTCTGTTGGATCTTTCGTGTCAACTGTCTTTATTAACCAAACAAAATCGAGACGAAATTTTAGTCTGATGTAAGAAGTCTACAAACGAGACCGTAAATTTTCAAATCTCTAGAATAAACAGTAAATTTTAAAAGAGCATTTGATGTAAATACTTACCTCAAATAATCCCTTCTACAGAGGATTAAATTTGCTTTAAAGTATAATGTGCATCCCACTTCGCCAAGCCGACACTCGCAACAAGCACATTTCAAGCAGTCTTCGTGCCAGTAGTGATTAAGAGCCTTGAGAAGGAACCGGTCCTTTATAGGGCAACGACAGCCTCCGCATAATCGCTTGTTTGGGGGCTCTTTTTGAAAATCAATTTTTTCTGTGGCTAGAGAAAAATGATAATGATGATCAGGGAAACAACTCGACATTTTACCGTTAAACGAAAATGCCCTTGGCTGAGAGAGCGGAAAATCAAAAATATCACGTAATTATTACAGAGAATACTTCAGCGGAAATTTTGCGAGAGAAAAATACGCTTTTGCGAATTACTAGTCGCCAACTGGATGTGGCAGGAAATTGAAGAAATTTAGAACCTACAATCTTCTTAAACAATCGGGACGATTCATTAATCGTAGTACCATCCTGAACAAGAAGTCACTTAAATGTTGCTGCAACAACTACAGCCGAGCTATTTTCAGCCAGCGCGAAGTTCCTAAACGCGAACGCTAGCCGTAAATGTTTTGAAATAATCGAGACAAGACACACCAGCTTGAAGCCTTACAGCCATCTCTCTGGAGCCGATAGAGGGTAATACAGAAGCCATTGTTAGATATAAATCTTCCAAGTTTTTCCGTTATTGGCACTGTGTTTACCAGCGCTCTATACTAAGATCTGATAGCGCATAGCGGTATACCTAGAAAGGTCGCCCAATCGACCAAATATTTTCAAACAGCTCAAAGTACCCCAATAAATCGCTTACCCATAACACTTCTCAGAAATTCTCCGCTCGCTTGCGTCGACTGGGCTTAATAAGATTTCTGCGTCAAATCCAACACGGTCTCACGCGCATTTACGCTGCTGAGCTCTTCTGAAGCCAGGAAAGTGTCTAATACGATATAACATGATCAGAGATCACTATATATTCTTATTTCCTGCCCATTAGCTCGACTGTCAATTATTATGTTGCGTTAATCGAAATCCAACTAGAACTGGGTCGCTATCCTTTGTTCTCCAAGTGACAAGTTTATTATTTCATTTAGTGTTTTCCACGCTCCCAAATTCGCGTCAGTCGCCCGCGTTTTATATCATTTGATACGTTGAGGTTTCGAGTTCACTGTCATCCGGTGAAAATCTTTTATGGGGCGTTTACATATCAGGTAAACCCCAGTTGATATGATCTTCTCCGAACGATTCATCGCGTTCGCAGTTTAGCGACTTATTAAACGCAAATGACACTGTTGGTATAGGGAAAATTTACAATTGCTATGTGCAAATATTTTGACGAGTCCATCTCCTCTTTGTGCCGCTAATGTTTTTAACAGACATTCTAATGACAAATAGTTTGCTTAAGGAGCTAATTAACATCATTGTCGGAGAAGACTTGAACACAACAGCGACATTTCTGGTTTCTGTTAAACGACAGTTTTGTCCGCGAAAATATCACTCACGAGTCTTTCGCATGCCCTCAAAACCATGTATTTGCAATGAGTCTTTTCGGCACTGGGTTTTAAAACTTTGTGAAAAACCTATTTCAGTCGCGCTAAAATTAACAGATCAACACTGCGGAGTAAATTGAATTCTTTTGTTTACAGTGCGAGAAATTAATCACCTGACAGTTAAAATTTAAGTCAGTTGTAAGATGAATCAAATTGCGCAAAAAAATGTATATATCTATATTAATTCCTTTTCTCATTTTCTGCTATAACCCGATGCTGGAATTCTTGAAAGAAAATAAATATTCGTTCACATTAACATTGCATATAAAAAAATTACATAAAAATCATGGGTTAAAACGTGTCATTTTATTGCACCTTGCAGCTAATCATAGATGGCTTTCTAGACTTGTTTATCTCTATTAACTAGAGGAGTAATAACAAAATATTCCAAAGTCAACCAAGAGGCGAGTCGAAGGGAGGTGTCTAAATTTTTCGTAAAAGCAAAACATTTGCCCCAGGCTATAAAAAACTTTTTGTTTTCGCTGCAGTTTTTGCATTTTCAGGGTTTTGTTTTCGTTTTTTTAACTTAGATCCGGGAGAGATTTAGTCTCCCTCGCAGCCGTTTTTTTTTTGGATGTCACGCAACGCTCTCCTTTTGGGGGAGCGTTGCGTGACATTCAAAAAAACGGCTGCGAGGGAGACTAGGAGAGATTTCGACGTTGTCGAAAGTGAAGCAGGACTGCGTTGGTTTTGCTCTACTCTGCTCTGTAATTGGTCCAAAAATCTCGCTCTACTTTCTCAACCAATCAGATACAAAGACTGCACGTGTTCTGAATGGCAAAGGTGTCTTCAGCTGAGAGTAAGTAAACGCAATTGTGACATTTTAGAAGGGTGCGTATTTTGAGATAATTTTACAAAAGCACTAAAGGACTTAATCCGTGTTTACATAGATAGCCCCATCTAAACACTCGGCAGTCTCTCCGCAGCCGTGATGTTTCGGTCACGCAACGCTCCCTCGCAGATACGGCCGTGTGGTGAGGGAGCGTTGGGAGACTAAACACTCGGGGGATTGGGAGAATTCTCGAAAGTTATGCGAAATCTCAACTGCGTCTCGGGTTTACTTCTTTCTCTCTCGAATTGACCGAATTGTCCCACTTGAACTTTCCTCGTGTAGAGATGAGGCCATGTACATGGAGGAAAAGTATTCTTTTGCTTTTAGAGTATCACGACGGCCCCACTTCCGATTTTATGCGCCTTAGACAGTTTTCTTTATTTGGAATTCTTATTTGCTCCTTGTCATACATATATCTAATTGCAGTGAGGTTGTCAGGAAAAAAGCAAAAGACTAAAAGGAAAATTAAAAGCCAGCTAAAAATCACTTACAATAAACCATTAGCATATAATTTTAATTTTTCAATATCGCTTGAAATTTCTAAACAACGTCTGACACTCTCAAGGAGTTTAAAATAATATCTTATTGAAAATTTCATGAAAATTATTGGGCTTCCGGGCAAATAGCCAAAAGGGTAGTTTTATATGCTAGCAGAAGCTTATAACCTTACAAGGGCATAAGCTTTTTTGCTTTTTCTTTATTTTTAGGACAACGTTGTCTCTATTAGGTGTAGATGCAAAAATATACGTGACTAAAAAAAACAAAATAAACACGACAAAGCAGAGTCTGAGATGACACAACTTTAGCATATCAGTTGTTTGGACACCAGAAAGGGGTATCTTTTATAGCTCAAATCTACCGATTGCTAATAGCATGTTGTACCACACAGCTGCAGTACTAAGAGGCAAGGTGAGTGGGTCATGAGCTAGGGTAGGCACAATTGGCTATTTCTTATGAAAGCCGCATTCTTGATTCTCATCCCCTTTTTAAGCTTGAAGGGGATTCCAACGTGCTAAATCATTCGTTCAGACGTAGGATAAACCAGAAACAGATTAGCCATCCTCCTTACGTTATAAGTTACGGTTGAGTGCAAAAAGCGAAAAATTGTCAGTTGTTTTCTTTCTCCGCCCTCCCCCCACCCCCCTCTCCCGAAAAACCGACTGCTTTCACAGTACAATCAAATAAAAAAGCAGTTGGGATAGATCTGGTACCCACTTTGCCATGGTGATCATGGACAACTGGAATTAATGACAGCAAAAGACGCAACATGCATGGAAGTCCATGTTTATTTAGAATAGAACAGATTGTCAAGGATACTGGAAATCTTGCTCTGGAGGGCCATAGAATCGACCGTTCAGCTTTTACGCGTTGCCAGTCATAAATAATATCAATATCATGATTGCCTTTACATTAAAATATACAGTTGTCGAGAGCACATCAGCAACGCCACAGCAACGGTGGCAAGGGATTCATTCCATTTTAGGTTGTCTGCGCGCACTTTGCGCCCTTTGCCGAGTTGCTTTAGGGGACTTTGCGCTCTTTGCCGAGTTGCTTTAGGGGAATTTGCGCCCTTTGCCGAGTTGCTTTAGGGGACTTTGTGCTCTTTGCCGAGTTGTTTTAAGGGGAAGTCAACCATCTTCTGGGCACCTTTGGGACCGGACGTGTGCGTCCATTTTAGATTTCCATCTCCCAAAAGTAGAATATCGACTGAGTTTTTTCAGTTGCAAACTAGCATTATTAACAGCATTTCCTTCAAAGCGTCACTTTGCGTTACAGGACAGTGTCATTCGAAGTAATCGAAATTGATAAAAAAGCGCGGTATTGAGATACTTTTTGTCACGCTATATCACGCCATGTCACGATCTAGCCTCCTTGCGAATCCATATCTGACTCTGAATCCGACTGCGCGTTGTTGCCATCATCTGACTCATCCATGAAGTCAGCGTTACTTGTTTCCAGTTCATGATCAGGAATGTTCATTAGTTTTTTATCTTTTCTCTTGGTTTTTTGTTCTTCTCGGTTCCAGTCTTTCATTTTGGCGCCCATCATGAAATCATCCCGTAGAATGCTCCATGACGACGTATCATCAGTATTGGTGAGGTCGATTCCCTGAAAAGCCAAAGTGAAAGTGGATCGTTACATTTTCAAACACATGCTGTCTAGCACTAAAAAAAAAAGATGGCTAAATAGCATGGAAGTTAGAAACAACTCTGAAGTTCCACATGCACTCGTTTTCGAACCTTTTTCGCTGCTAACGCCCCACTTGAAAGCAGATTAGCCTTCATACTATTTAACAATTATTCGAGGTGAATACCGTCGAATAATCCCCGAAACGAAGTCGAGGGGATTATTCGACAAAAATCACCGAACCTGAGGCGAATAATTGTTTTAGTATAATTTCAAAGCTGAACAACAGAGAAATTTCTAAAATCATAACATTTTCATATAATTCATAGCGTCATATATGGAACCGCTCGACCAATCAGATTGCTGGAAACTCTTTGCTCAGCTCTGAAATTATACTAATTAACCTTGTCACTCCTAAGATCTAATCAGTAATTCTCCTTACTGTCTGCCATACAATTCTCATGGTGCTAGATCAGAAAATTTGGCATTTGATCAACTGGTACATTCCCCTAATTGATCTTTTTCTTTATTCTCATCACTTGTCTGCTTGATATTGAATTGATATTGTAAGGAGAAATTCTGTCTTGATCACTCATGGGGGTTGAAAAGTTAGGAAAATGAGACAACTATTACCGTTCCTTTCTGTTCTTTATGCTCTTGATTCCATCCCTTGTCAGAGCTACTTTTCAGCATGTCAAGAAAGGTAGATTTGGACATCGATTCCACTAATTTATAAAACAAATTGGACAACAACAAAAAATTAGCATAAATTTTTATGACACAACACTTTTAAAGAAGAGAGCCATGCCAAAAAGGCTGTACTCTACTGACATTAACGTCTTCACTTAACAAAACAGACCCAGAACAATCATTCTTTCCTGCTGAGGGTCTCACCTTTCATTTTCTTGGCTTCAGTAGGAGCTGAGTTTAGTTTATTGTCCATCTCCTTCTGATGTTTACTGACTGCATTGAACAGTTTGACAACTAAGACAAGATGGGGATCAAAAGTTTGGGAGAGCTTCAGATATGAGTCCTCAAAAATCAACAACATGTATGAAGCAGTTTACAATGAATGAATCTGAGATCAAATAAATTTTAAGCTAAGTTTGCTTGTTGTTGTTGTTGTTGTTTTTTTTTCCCTGCAAATTGCACTCAATTGAAACCATTATAAACTTCAACATGTCTGCTGGAAAGCTTTCGTGCCATATTAAGTTATCACTATTCTTTGTTTTTTGACAGATTGTTGAAAAGAAAGAAGAAATTTCAGACCCCTTCACATACCTTTGCATGTTAGAAAAATGCAAAAAATAACTTACTGTGAAACTCAGAAAAGTGTAAACTTAAACATCTGAAATATTTCTGAACTGTTACTGTGCAAGAGAAACAAACCACTGAGATACAAGCAAGCTTAACTGTTGGCAATGAAGCTCTTTAGTTTGTGTTTGTTTGGTTTTTTTTTTTTTTGGTACTCTCGCATGTCCTGACCTTCATTGTAAGAGCTTGTTGCACAATATATACTCCAGACACACTTCAGATTTTCTGATTTTGATGGTAAAACTAGACAAAATGGGCATCGAGAGCCTGTATCAAATTCTATGTGTATCTCATTTTCCTTCATCAAGATCACATTTTATATTTTCTTAGCAGCAAACCATTTTCCTACCATCTTTAAAAATCAACAGATGAGAAGATGAATGGATGGAAGGAATTAAAAATAATAATAATAATAAAAAGCATTGTATGGCAAATGAAAAACAAAGCAGAAGAGGAAGAAAGAGAGATAACTTCTAATAAAATTATGATACCAGAATAAATAACAAGAAAATCAGGCAACAATAAAGGTTACCTCCTCTTGTTGCAATTCTCATTAAGTTCTTTTCATAATCCAGTGTTGAGGCATCAGGTTTAATATGGTCTTTTTCAAGCATAGCATGACGTTCTTGACTTTTCAGCTTGTAAGATGAAAACAATAGTAACATCAGTGAAATAGTAAGTCAAAGTGACTTAAGCCTTGTGGGAAATAAGAATCAGTGGAAGATGAAATTTTAGCTCAATTTCAGACCTTGGAAAAACACCACTCTTTACCTTCTTGGAGGCTAATTCTTCTTTTCTCTCTGCTTTTCTCTTTTCAATTTTCTTGTATTTAAGTAACACAGGTGGCTAAAAAATGCAAAAGAAAGATAGGATCAAATAAAATTTCACAGTTATACCTTGAAAGTCTGACAATCCGGGTTATTGCAAATGAAAAACAATTCTGACACAGTATCTCACCAGTATATCCTTTGAGGATTATAACCAATTATAAAACTGTGTAATAACAATCAATTTTCATTGATGTCTAAGGGTTTTACAAGGATACTCAAATCCCATCGGACTATCAGTATTGCCCACGTCAACTCATGTTGAGTCATTTGAGATAATCAAAATTTAAAACATGAAAAACAAGTCACTTTGATAATAAATGATGGTGACATTGTTTCTTGGGCTTATGCTTTTGAAGCTTGGTAGTTGTCATATAATTCACCCAATGTTAACAGGGATTGTGAATGAAGTTTATCATTTATCAGATACCTTGTCCTCTGGTAGCTGATTTTCAAGGATTCTTGCCATAGCATCTGCCCATCCTTGATTTACGTCTTCCTCACCATCTCCACCTTATTAATTTTTGAAAATATTTTTTGCAATTTCATTCAATCAATCTTATACCAAAATGCGTTTAATCATGTTTTCCACATATTAATACAATCCAATGTTTCACAGGCGCAGAATTCCCACGATAATCGACATGAGGGATTTTTATGGCTTGAAAAAATTGCAGTAGAGCTAGTTTCTCCAGTTAGCTTCGCTGGATAAATTGCTCTTCAGTCGGGTCCTACAACCGCGTGATAAATATTTATTTCTACAGCATAATCTTTTGAAGCGGAGCTGTAACTCCGTAAATTAAAGTTTTCAAGTTGTGATAGTATGTTTGGGATCTAAAACAGATCATGA